CACCACTCAGTCCAACCACACGATGTGAGAAAGTGGACCTGGTCAATACAAGCCCTTTCATTTTAGGGAAGGAACACGGACACGCACGTCGACACAAGCACACGCACACAAACCCCCACATTCGCTCGTATTTCTTCTCATTCAGTCGCAGTGATTTGATTGAATGCTGAGAGATGGGGAAGTGCAATCCAGCAGCTGTGTGAAACGCAGACTTGCAGACTCTCACTATATAAGAGAACACATTCAGTGAATCAGAAGACCTTTCAAGACCTCATAAAGCAAAACAAACTAGACACAAAGCGTAAATCCAAAACTCCTTCAGCTGTGCAGCAAAGCCACAACAGAAAAATATTGTTTGTAGATAAAGAATGGAGTTGCTGTTCACAGAACCTCATCTGAAGGGAGAGAAAGAAGTAAAGCAAAGCCGTGATGTAGTTGGTCGAATTTGAGCCCTTTCTTCTAAAAACTATGTTCTTATACAACTAAACAGCATTCTCAATTACACATTTGAAAGAAAAATACAGTTGTGACTCAATAATCCGACACTAAATGTAAAACCTTCTTTTGTGTCGGATAGCAAGGCTGTCGGATTGTCAAGACGGAGGTCGAGATACAAGGAGGGCTTGATGCTGGAAGGCTCATTTGTTGTTAATATTCATTGTTTATAGTTGTTATAATAACTAGTAGGGCTGGTCCCAATAGCACTTTCTGCTCTCTGGATATTCAGGCCCAATTAATGATGAATATCAGAATATTCAGCGCGGTCAGGCGGGACCACTTCCACCTCGGGGGAGCGCGCCAACGGGGTGGAAGTGTCTGGAATGCACAGGCAGTACTTGGCTGCTGAGACAAGTTTAGGATAGCGGTCCCAAAGTTTCCACCAGAAACAGCCACCGCCACCATCCATGTTTACTTCCACAAACTCTGAGCACGCTCGCTGCGTGTGACGTTGTCGTGTTCTCTTCTGAGCATGCAGGACACTTTTGGGTCGTATGAAGTTCACACAGCAGATCACATACAAGTCGCATTGAACTGGAAACGTGAACGAACTCACAAAAAAAAATTGGATTTCACAAAAAAAATCTGAATTGAGCATTAAGTCCTGCAGTGTGAGCGTAGCCAATCTGTGGGATTGTTCAGTCAGATAATACGCCGTAATCCTGATTGGTGACATTAAATGTCATGTCGGAGTCAGAATCCAAGGCTGTCTGTATGTTAAGGCTGTTTTTAATGGGTTTCATTCGTTTTTCCTAAAAACCTGTCGAATAACAAGGTTTCGGATTGTTAAGGGTCGGATTATCGAGTCACGACTGTAATTGTTTTTCAGCCAGCCAGACTTACACAATTCAGCCCCACATATCACGACCACTGTGTAACATTGTTTTTGTTCTCTTTATGCGACCAAAGTACCTCTGATCCATTGGGGTATGTACACATGACTTTTGTCCTGTCATGTCTGGCAAGTCAGCAGTGAACTGCAGGGTAGAGCCTTCACAAATCTGGCAACTCAAATGAATTGAGATTTGGGTGGTTTGGAGGCCGGATGAAAGCCTTGAGCTCTTTGTCGTGTTCCTCAAGTGTGGTGGCGTGGATTGTCCTGAATGGATGAGGTGTGCCTGCTCTGCAACCATGTTCAGGTGGGCTGTACATGCCAAAGTAAAATCTACATGAATGCCAGGAGACAAGGTTTCCCATCAGAACGGTGCGTTGTAATGAGGTGGTCGATGTTATCAATTTAAGCTGTCAGTTTAAATGTTGTGTCTGATCAGTAGAGATGTAGGGGGGATTTGAACTCGATTAAATGGAAGGGATACACTTCAAACATGTTGTGATAGAGTGCATACCCTAACTCCAACCCCCACTCCCCAAGTAGTGTCTAAATCCAATCAAACTGTGAGAATCCTGTGTTTGACAAACAATGCAACCACACTTCCAGCCTCCTAATGTGGACTTTGTGGCTATTTCTAAGTGGAACCGCCTCCTAATTCTTCACATTGTTCCCTTACAAGAAGAGAACCTTTTCAAAATGTATTTGAGTTATACAGGAACAACCACTTTGGGAAGCAGAGTTGCAAATTTGACTCTTTTGACAAAAATTTTAACAACCCAGACTGCTCGAAAATACATTTCCTGGTCTGTGTAACTTGCATAACATCCCACAGTTAGTGAGGCAGCAGTTAACAGCCAAACTAGCTGTGAGTGCCTCAGATACGTTACCGCAGTTTAGGTTCTGAGGAGTGTCATGTGAGAATACCGGGTGCTTTAAAACCTGCCGGCGAGCGTTGCCTTAATGGGAATTGATTCATGTCACATCGGTGAGAAGGGTTCAGACAAACAACCCTCTGTTGAGGTCGTATTCTTAACTCCCTCACATGAAATCTACAACTTTTACGCGTAATCACCACAATTGCACCGCAGCGCCGTAACAGAACCTGTTTTTTTCCCGTCCGTCTGTCTGTCTGTGCACGACACAAAAGCTTAGTCTGGTGGAGAAAATTGTACTTAATTCACCTGTGAGCTTTTCAAGGTAACACAGCAGACAGGACTGGAATACTTGTAGCAGAGACACGGTAAGAGACAGCAGGAAAGAGAAGGAGACGGAGTGAAAGACAGCGGATCAAAGAAGAGACAAAGCCAAGTGTTTTTGCTTCTCTTCTAAGAGGTTTTCTTTTGGAAGATGTTTCATTTAGACCTGAAGGGTTGTCTTGCCTATTAAGCAACTCTCCCACACTTCCTTTCATTTTGCTTCTTTCTCTCTATTTGCTTATGAATTCATGTCAGAGTCAGCCAGAACCTGATGTGATGCCTGCTTAATAGGAAGCTAAGAGGCACAGTGTCGACAATAAGGACATATCTGTCAATCTTAATCATTCTCTGTTTCTCATAAGTCGGCTAGAAGAAGATTCTGCTTCTTCATGGCAGTTTCATGCACATGTTCATATGCATGCAAATAAACACAAATTCAGCTTTTAAATCTAAGTTCACAGTCACATTTCCAGACTCGGTTCTTTCTCTTCTCTCTATGTCTTAAAACTACCTGCTGATGATCTTGCTTTTTGTCACATAGCTTCCTTCTACTACCAGCCTTATCGTCTTTTCCACATTTACCCTTCTTCCTCCTCTTCCACCATTTTTCTCTCCATCCTTTGCTTTTTCTCTCCGCCTCACTGCCGCACACGTTTCATCTATTTGCTCGTCTCGTTTCCCTTTTGTTTTCCTTTTTGTCCGCTTCAGAGACTTTCACCAGTCAGTCATATCGCCGCGTTTCTACACAATCCTTCTCACTTGTATCAGTCACACACACACACATATTAACTGAGTTTGGGGAGTTTGTGTGTGTGAGTCACACATCACCACACTGCAAATGCTGCTCCTAAGAAGCTTGATCAGCAGTGTCTGCTGAACCAGGGGGCATGCAGCTAACACGGCACACTGCTTGGATTGTAATCTAGCACTCTGGTAGCTTTTATACAGCTATAATTTGATTGTGTATATGCTGGTCTGATAGAATACGCAAGCACTACACAAAAACAGAAATATGGATGCCTTAAAGAGTCACAACCTTGGGTAATGCAAGCATGAAAAATGTAGCTTGTAACTTCTAAATAAAGGTAAAGACACTTTAATCGTCAACCACAAAGTTCGTCATGGTTTGCTAGGTCTACTTTGTACTGTGTGCGCTTCTATTTTTGGGAGATAATCTATGCAAATAAGAGGACATTATCAACAACTATGTGCACAAAGGACAGACGTGCACCTTGCAAAGACTTGCTAAAATGATGCATCTCCAGCCTGGTGCGCCTGTTTGGTAAATACAGCACGCCTCAATGTGTCACATTTTCCACGGATAAGCAGGTGCAAAGGCATCAGTAAATCTGGCCCTTGATGTCATCTATACCTGTAAATACCTTGACTGGGCTCCGGCTTCACACACTCCGGCACGGAAGGGAAGTTCAGCGAAATGCACCACGACAGAAATTCGGCTCGGAATTGTTGCGAGCTTGTCAGGTGAGGTGAAATATCCAAAAGCCGGGGTTTATGTGAGTTCACGGCAGAATCCATCACCTACTAATGGAAAATAAACTTAGAGAGAAACGGTATAGCTCTCTTAATCGTTCCTTTATGGCTCAGAAATGGAACGATGCTGAGTGATTAACTGATGATGGATTAAGACAAGAAAGGACACAACTCTCAAATTCACACTATCACCGTTCACGGGGAAAAAGGATATGGGCTACAGACCATGCGGATGCACAAGCTGCGGGGACACGTGGTCTGCTTCAGGCAGAAGAAGACCACAGGTACCAGCTCAGGATAGGGCACCACCAACACACTGCCATCACTGCTTGCGTCTTCCTCATCGTCCTCGTCTTCGTCATCCCCATCGCACTCCACCAGCTCACCTTCCTCCTCCTCCTCCTTCTCAATCCTCTCTTCCTGAATAATCCCTTCCACCTCTATCTCCTTCTCTTTCACCTCCTCTTCCTCGGGACATGGGCGGTGGTGCGGGGAGGGCCTGCAGGGGGACGACGCAGTGACGGGATCATCGCCGTCGCCGCCGACGGTGGCTGCCGTCACCCCGGAGATTGTCGCGGCTGACGGTGCCGTTGCTGCTGATGTTGCAACGCCGGGGCCCTCCTCCTCATCGCTCGTCATGGCCACACAACAGTCTTGGATGAGAGAAACAGAGCAGACAAAGAGAAGAATTTAATTTTAGAAAATCACTTTATCAAACTTAAGAAATCAGCAGCTCATGGACCAGGATGAACACACATTTATATTATCGCCTTGCATTCGTTCGCCTCCCCAATCAGTCGAGTGTGATGGGACGTCTGTATTTACTGGTTTTAATCATTTTCCTGCGGACACTAGGTATGTTCTCTCTTGTGAAAGTTTGTGTCTCATTTGCTCTTGTTTGTATCCGGAGGCCAGCTTGACCGCGAGGCCTTGGAGTGCACTGATCCTGTCTCTTGAAGGCTCACACAAACAATTCTGTGGAGGTCTTGGAGTGCCTCGTTAGTGGTGCAGTTAGACAAAGCCTTGACGAACTGACCTCACCTTTTGTACTTTTGCTGCTATGAGACAAAAACTTCTCTCTAAGATTGGGTGTGATGTCATATCTTTGGCTCTTGTTTTCGGAAGACATGAGTCCTACATGCACACAAAGAATGTATTGAGGTAAGTAACTCTTATGGAGACTTACTTTCTGTTGAATTTTAACGAGATCAAGTTTGACGTCTGAATTTTTAGATATAAAATGTCAAAATTTCTTATTAGACATTTGTGTGATTTTGTCCTAATTAGTATTTAAATTCTTTATTTATGGACATTAACATGTTTTGTAAGGTCGTAGAGGCCTCTGACCACCAAATTCTAATTAGTTCATCCTTCATCATTGCATTTGTAACAGACTTTTCATTCCTGATTTATTGTGTTCACAAGAATGGGATGGACGTTTGTTCACAGTGATCTTTGTCCACCAAATTCTAATCAGTTCATCCTCGAGCCCAGGTAGCAAATTAGATAAAATTCTCTTAGTGTGTTCAAGAGGTATCGTGTTCATTAGCATGGAACAGACGAACGGACCAAAGCCAAGAGGCTAGCCCCAGCTGTCACAGACCCAGAAACTCTGACACTGAGTTATCTTATGACAGCTTAAAGTAAGTCAACGAGGGGTTCATATTCCCCCAAAGCGGGCCAAACCAAAAAAAAAGTTTTATGGTCTACTAGTTTGTGGCAAAGTGGTCCAACCAACAGCCCGCTGGTAACGTCACTATGGCACTTTGAAGTTTGGCCCATAATTGTTTTGGAAATTTAATTTAATGGAAAACTGGACCAAGCCACAGGAATCGCTGACTGTTATATCACAGGTACTTGCTCGTGTTTGCAATTCAAGATGGCGGACAGCGCAACCGCAAGCCCTGCGAAAACTCAACTCGTAGGTAAAGTAAAAACTTAATGAACCACCACCAAGCATCTATTTCTACCTCACGGTCCTCAAAAGTATCTCCAGTTCCTTATGATGTAAACTCTCCAATGCTGTTTAGCAAGACCAACCTGGAATCAGTTTTTTCTCAGAAAGTAGTAAATGTGGTACGGCCTGCTTTGACAAGGCAAAGTCACTGTTTCTACCTCTGGACAGTGTTGAAACATCTTTGGATGCACATAATGACTCCTCCAACAACCATGATGTTTTTTTAGCAACACAAAATTTTGACCTCATTTTTCTCTAAAACTAGTAAATGTGGTTTGGCCCACTTTGACACTAACCCCTAAAATATAGTAAGTACATAAAATATATGTTTAAACTTATGGAAAACCCCCCCCAGCTGAGAGTGTTGACAGGAATGGAGCACAAATCAAAGATCTATCAAGTGTTAAACTTACACACTTTTGCAACATAACAGCACAAATACATGAAGTTTTCAAATTTGAAAAATGCCATTTTTTTGTGAAAATGACTAAACCTCATCTTCTCTCTTTTTACTCGGCAAACAAACCTGATCATTTCAGCCGACATGTGGTCGAGTGGGATAAAAAGCTCATCTGCTCTCTTGCATTAATATTTAAAACGAGTAAAGTTTGAGATAGAAACCTGCTTTCTTTACTTTGCTCCCACACAGCTGACTGTGACGCCTCTGTTCAGTCTCCTCCAGCTCGCTCTCTCGTCAACAATGTTGTAATGCAGCCAAATATCTAACACAGTTATTCTCATTTACATATTTTTCTATTTCTGTTGTGAGACACTGAAACAAGCACGGAATGGAGATTTAATCACATCCTAAATATTACCTATTAAGAAGCAGTTATTCCTAAGCTGTGCATTAGACTATATTGACAATTGAAACGAGTTCTTGTAGAGACGGTTTGCGGCTTACATCATTATTTACCCGTAGACTGTGAAAACACGGGGTTTGAGGATTTATACACGCTGAAAACTGCTTTGGAAAAGGAAGAAAATATTGTAGTTTAAGGCTAATAGGGGGCTGAAATGCAGACAGGAAAAGGATGCATTTAGAAATGTGGGCATATAATTTAAAGGAGTAAACAAACAGTTTTTCCTCACACAGTTAAATAAATCCCAGACTGGTTTAATGACATCAATTATACCAGCGATCAAAAGTTAATCACACTAAACCTACAGACAGCTATACAAGGCTTCGCAATGCCTCGTTTCTGAAATATTTTGTGCAGTCTGATCACAGAAAGAAGCAAGAGACAGAGAGAGAAAAGGGGGCACCGGTGAGAGGCTGTGAAAGAGGAAAACTGCTGAAAGGCTGCAGAGGAATAAAGGAGTAAGGAAAGAGTGAGTGAGTAAGGAGAGTTCAGTGGTTTAGTCAGAGGCTTAGTGTTGAGAGGAATCAATACCGTGTAGCTGGAGAGAGAATAGAGGGAGCAGGAGTTCTGATATGACTGAGTGGCACCGGCCCATGGATTTCCAATGAGTGAGCAGAGCAAACAGTTCTTAGCAAAAGCGACTGAAAGCTCCAGTCCAGTCACAGACGAGAGTTTCCGGAAGGTTGTCAAAGTAGACTGTGCTGATGTGAGTTACAGGCGGGTTTCAGGGTATTTTTCTTTTATATACAAAACAGAAGAACATGCTTTATGCAAAAGAATATTAATGTTTGTTCTGTTTGTTGTTGTTGCACTGTGGAGTCACGTTGGCAACAGAAGTGCAGTGTTATGCTGCGACTTCAGGAGACAATGAAAGTGAACGTTTTGAGTGT